GACTACGTGGGAGTCCAGTGACATAGCCATTACGCTAACTGCTGGTCCCTACACACATAATATTAACTTTATAAAAATGTGTTCTATTATTGGGCAAAACGTCTTCCACATCACGTGGCGCCTCACCTCCATCGTCATCTCTGTTCTCTTGGGCATAGTGCTGCATAGCAGTCCATTTTGTACATTCAGTCTCGACCTTCCTTCACTGAGAGACATTTCGGTTTCTTTCTGGCACTCTGGAGCTATAGTGGTTGTCCTCGTGCTTGTTGAAACTTACTTCTGTTGGCAAGATTGCAGCAATGAGCTGTCAGAGCTGGGATGCTGGTCCCAGCTCAGGCAGATGAGTCAGCCAAGTCTGGAAACCTGCTGACTCCCCGACCTCCCAGCAGGAAGGATCCCCAAAGGAGAGCCGGGTGTCCTGACAGCAGAAGGGGGTCTTCCTACTGAGAAGCCAGGAAATCGGGGTTCTTTGCCCCATTCAAACCTGTCAGACAGAAAAGTTTGCAAGTGGGACAAATTTAAGTTAATAGGGAATGTGAAAAATTCCCAAAGCAGAACTTGTATTTCTGATAAAGAGAAATCTTAAAGCATCTTTCAAATAGTTAGGGGGAGTTGGCAGGTGGCATGGTGGTTAGGGGTGCTGGAATCCCAGACCTGGCAGCTTGCTTTCTCATTTTCTCTCTCTCTCTCACTCTGTCCCTGTCTGGTCAAATTAAAATAAATAAATAAATAAATAAATAAAGTTTTGTGTGTGTTTTTTTTAAAGTTATGGGAAAAGACTTTGAAGAACAACTGGCTGGACACTGACTCTTATCACAGCCTTAGGCGAAAGATCCACCCACCAATTCTCAATGCTGCCTTTTTTTTTTTTTTTTTTTTTTTTAAAGTAAAGGTCCAAGACTCAAACCATAGTCAGCCATGTGGGAATCCAGCACTTTAGTCACCATGCCACCTGCTGGCCCTTCAATGTTACCTTTTTATGAAGCTTGGGATAGGTAAAGAGCTTCCAAACAAAACATAAAAACACGACAGTAATGGGAGACAATGGCATTCTTTTTTGGTTTATTTATTCATTTTGAGTAAGACAGAAAAAGAAAGATAAGTAGAGAGGCAGTACTCCTACTGGGGTCCAGATACTGCAATCTACCCCCAGCTTTAGCCAGCCCCAGATCATGGGTCCAACGTGTCTGGAGTACATAGAGAGGACTCTGGACTTGAACCTGGAACCCTTACATGTAAGTCAGCCTCACAGAGCATCACATGCTTTCTGCTCAGCCACCATTCAGCCCCACAATGATACACTTGACTTAATTAAAACCAAGAATATCTGTTCATCAAAAAACTGGATTGAAGGGTCCTACCTGTGGCACAGTCTTAAAGAGCCACCCAAGAGGGGCTGGGAATTTAACTTGACAGAATTGTATACATGTTCATCGGAGATGTACACAAAGGTGCATAGTATCAGCCTTTTTTTTTTTTTTTTTGAGACTTTTGCCATAGGGCACGTGTGTTTGCTGGAGAGAGATAGAGAGACAGAAAGTGCAAAATTACTCCCCAGGAGGCATGGCCGCACTGTAGTCCCTTCTCCTCCACTGTCCTCTCAGGACTTTGGGCACTCACACATGCCCAGTGTGTTTTTCAAGCCTCTGGGTCTGGGACTCAAACCGAGGAGTGGGCCATGTGGGATCTTAACCACCACGCCACCTGCTAGCTGCCATAGCAGCATTCTTTTTATTTATTTATTTATTTATTTTGTGATGAAGGAAAGTACAACTTTACAATGCCCAAAGCAAGGAAAGCAGGCAGCTCATGCTGAAAAGACTCTGTCTTCCTAAGGTGTCCCCCGCACCCGCATGTGTTTAGGGGCAAAATTAGGGGCAGAAGTCGCAGGCACATGATCATTTCAATGATTGGTTCAAGAGGACACGATTGGTCAACTCCTGCGCTTCTTTTTTTTTTCTTTCTTTCTTTTTGAGAGGTTTTTGCTATTGGGTGTGTACACTCACTGAAAATACAGAGAAAGAGAGAGAGACAGAAAGTGAAAAATCACCACCAGGGGGGATGACTATGCCACAATCCCTTCTCCTCCCTTTTCCTCTCGGGATCTTGGGCACGCACACACACACACACACACACACACATGTGCCCGGCATGAGTGTAAGTTGCTGGGTCTGGGACTTGAATCATGGTCGACTCCATGGGAGTCCAGTGATGTAACCATTATGCTATCTGCTGGTCCTTCCTGGGCACTCCTATGGGTGAGGCCTTAGATAATCAAATTTCTGTTCAGGTTTCTGGAGCCATTCAGTCTGGGGTCTTTGAGCTTACAGCCAGCAGTTTCCATCCCATTTTTGCCAGCTTATTGGGTCCTGAGTTCTGTTGACCATGGCTTCCAGAAGACCAGAGCAGTTTTGGTTTACCCTGCTTACCACGCCAAATCTATAAGAGCAGAGGCAGTCGCGCCGAAAGTCATTGAAAAACCGCTGATAAATAGGCATATCAGTAAAGGGAAAGGCACACAGTCAGCTAACGTATACCTATGCACATGGGAACCCACAAACTACTCTTTCAAGAAAGGCCACACTACTCAGCAGCACTCTTTAATAGCTCAAACCTGGGAACAACCCTAACGTCTATCTGTAGTAGAATGGATAAATATCCAGTTTGAAATATCCACCCAATGGAGTACTGTGCAGTAACAGGATGAACGAAGTACCACTACTGGCAACACCGTGGATGAACCTCAAACACAAGTTGAGTAAAGAAGCTAAGCACGGAAGACTGCATACCAAACTGTACACCTCTAAAACAAATCTGCGGTGCTAGGAATCAGGGGCACAGTGAGCCTCCAGGAAAATCCTGAAAAGGGGTATTATGGGCTTCGGACAGCTATTTGGAGCTACACACTCATAACATACACATTCTGTGTGTGTGTGTGTGTGTGTGTGTGTGTGTTTTAAAGAATTATTTATTTATTTCCATTTGTTGTCGTTATTTTTTTTCTTTATTTGACGAGAGAGAGAGAGAGAGAAACAGGGAAAGTGAGAAAGCAAGCCAGGTCCAGGACTTGAACCATGGCTGGCCATGTGGGAATCCAGTGCCCTTATTCACCACACCATCTGCTGGCCCCTATGTGTGTGTTTTAAACAAAATCTTTTTAAAAGAATAATTATCTATTGGGTCATCAGGAAAGTCATGATGCATTTTTGCATAGAAAACCAGAAAAATGTCATGACTTTTCCCATGACCTAATATGTTTATGCATTTATTTTCACTTGTGATAGTGTGTGTACACGTGCGCACACACATGAAGAAGCACCCTCCAGGAGACTGATGCTCTGAGCCCCTCCATCAGTCCTTTAGTCCGCCAGGTTTGAAGGTATGTGCGCATGAGCTGGGCAGAGTTCAAGCCAGCCAGGCCAGGGACCCAAGCAGTGGTCAGAATGTGCTTTGCGGCTCCACAGTCCAAGAGGCAAAAGACTGAACCACGGAGGCTGGGCTGGCCACTTTTCTGTGTGTTTACAGTACTGAGAAAAGATGAGGACATCCGTAACTTATGAGGTCATCTGTAATGTATGAGTACATTTTAAGTCAAGGGCTAGTGGTGTAGTGGTGAAGGTGGCTGGATCCCACAAGGCTGGTTGGGAATCTGAGTTCCAGATCCTGTGACCTGAAAATCATGTTCAGTGCAAGTGCATGCATGCCCAAAATCTCAACTTGAGGGAGAGATGGAGGAAAAGTGATTGCAGGATGATCATCCCCTAATCCTTTTTCCTCTATTTTTCTACCTAGTCGGGATTTGGGGTGCTCATACACACAAATGCATCCAGCATGTCTGTTTATCAAGTCACCGGGGCTGGGATTTGAACTGTGGTCGCCCATGTGGGATCCAGCTCCCCTAACTACTAGGTCACAGGGCCAGTTGTCCTCATTCTATTTTTTTTTTTTTAAGTTTTTGCTATAGGACATGTGTGCTCACCAGAGAGACACACACACACACACACACAGAGAGAGAGAGAGAGAAAGTGAGAAATCACCCCCCAGGAGTGATTTTGGGCATGCACACACAGACACACCTGGCATGACTTTCAAGCCACTGGGTACAGAATTCAAACAGCACAGCTGGTCGTGTGGAATCCAGAGCCTTACTTCTATACCACCTGCTGGCCCTGTACTCATTTATTCATTTTTAAGGCTACCTAACATTCCATTTGATGGATGTCCCACAATTATTCATTTATTGATGGGTATCTGTGTTGTTTCCAACAGTTTTCCCTTCAACTAATGCTGTGATGTAACGTGAGTGTAAAATATCTGTTGGAGAGAATCCTAGAAGTGGCCTTGCTCCGTTTAGGAGTACGTGCACTTGGGATGTGACCAACATCGCAGACTTAGACCGCCAGCAGCCCTGCGTGAGGGTGCTTGTTTTCCCAGGCCTGGGATCTTTAGCCATCCAACAGGTAGAAAATCGTGTATTTACTTTGCAGGTGTTTTGTGGTCTATGAGGGTGAGCATTTTTTCAGAAGTTTAAGGACTACCTATGGTTTCTGTTCCTTCTAGATCAGTTTGCTCTCTTTTCAACAGCTCTGGGTACATGTTGTTCTTCCAGGATACGAGGCCCAAGTGACCCGTTCTCCACCCGTCAGCCTGGGCCCTGCGTCCCTTCACTATCACAGGCTGGGGCCTGAGGGCTAGAAAAGGGCACCTGCCCTGGGAAGCGCCTCCGACCCGCCCCGCCCCCTGACGCGGAGGCCCCGCCCATCGGGGCGTGCCCCGGCGGCTCTCGTCACGTGACGTCGTGAAGGCGCGTAGGGTTTGGTGGCCGTCAGTGCGTCACATCCGCGCGCTGGCGCACTCCCGGCGAGGCGGTGACTCCCGGCGAATGAGGCACTCTGCGGCGTTGCCCAGGAGGACAACCGAGAGGGCGCTATAGGCCCGAAGGCCCAGCGCAGCTTCCGGGTTCCTGGTCACGTGGCTCGCCCGCCCCTCCTGGTTGCTAGGCAGCTGCGTGGGCTCTCGGAGCCGACCAGCGTTGTGCTCTCGCGCGCGACCCCAGAGCCCCGGCGCGGCGATGGACCAGTACTGCATCCTGGGGCGCAGGGGAGAGGGCGCCCACGGCATCGTCTTCAAGGCCAAGCACGTGGAGGTGCGGCCGCGCTCGGCGCTCTCGCTCGCATCCTGCCGTCCCGCTGTCCCTGGGCGTCCTTCGGGCCGTCGACCCCGCATCCCTGCACCTCCGCGCCCCGCTCCCCGCATCCTTGCACCCCCGCACCCCGCGAGGGGCCTGGTCCTCGGGCCCACAGGGCCCTGCTGCCCCCGTCCCCCCAGAGCCCCAGCGGGCGGTGGGCTGGCAGTGTCTGCGTTCTTCCCTGCACAGACCGGCGAGATCGTAGCCCTCAAGAAGGTGGCCCTGCGGCGGCTGGAGGACGGCATCCCCAACCAGGCCCTGCGCGAGATCAAAGCCCTGCAGGAGATCGAGGACAGTCAGTTTGTGAGTGCGGCTGCAGCACGGCGGCCTCGCCCTCCTCCTCTTCCTCCCACTTCATCGTTTTCCCGCCCGCCTTGGCCCACTCCCATTCCTCTGCCCTTCTGTCACTTAGCCCCTTTTGGTCCACTTGTTCCCTGTCATTGACCTGATTGGTTCTCACTCATGGAGACATGCATTTCCTCATATGCTCGTTTATTCACCAGCTTACTTTTTCTTCCTCAAAACATTTAGTAGCTTCGAATAATGATAACCGGCATCCCTTGAGCTCCTGGGAGGTTCCGGAGGCAGTGCTATATGCTTATTCTAAGTGCTTTGCACCGCTCTGAGACAGGTTTGAGGAGCTGTGCTTTTCGAGAGTTCCTGGGTCCTAGCGCTAAGAGAGGCTATGCCCTAGTCTGATGGAAGAGTCTGGCATTCTTCCCCTGGGGCTCCTGCAGGCCCTGCCCCTGCTGGGCGCTGGTGACCTAGAGAGGAACTGGCTATAGCCCTCTTCTGAGAACTCAAGTATTGTAAGGCAGACAGAACTAAAGGCCTCTGCTGTAAACGGGGACTGGGAGAGGCTATGGTGACATGAGGGGCCATCTCTCCTCAGCACTGCTACTCCTATGGTGCTGTGTCCTCATTTTCTTCCTTTTTTTTTTTTGGAAGATTTTTGCTATAGGGGGCATGCACTCACCAGAGAGACAGAGAGGCAGAAAGCCTAGATTACCCTGGGGGTGTGTGTATGGGGGATGGCCATCCCACAATCCCTTCTCCTCCGTTCTCTCCAGCATGCCTGCATGTCCACCAGGGTAGGTTTTAAGCTGTTGGGTCTGCGACTGGAACTTGGTGGACTACATGGAATCCAGTGACGTGACCGCTCTACCGTCTGCTGGTCCCTCTTTTTCTTCCTTGCTTTTTAAATTTTTTTTTTTTTTAAATTTGTCAGAGGGTGTGTGTGCTTGCCAGAGAGAGAGGAAAAGCAAGAAAGTGCCTCCCCGCTAGCTCCATCATGACAGAATCCCTTCTCTTCCATCTGTCCCTCCTCTCTGGATTTTGGGCACATGTTCACGCGTGGCTGGCCTTTTTCCAAGCTGCCAGGTCTGGGACTCAAACAACATGATGGGCCATATGAAATCCAGCTGCCTTAACCACCAGGCTATGGCCTGGCTCTTTTTTTGTTTTAATAATTATTTTATTCATTTATTTTAATTTGACCAGAGAGGGGCAGAGAGAGAGAGAGAGAGAAAGCAAGAAATTAGGTCGCCAGGTCCAGGACTCGAAACACAGTCAGTCTTGTGGGATTTCAGAGTTCTTAACCATCACGCCACCTGCTGGCTCTGTGGTCCCTTTTTAAAAAAGAGCATCTTGCTGTCTTCCTCCTCTTGCTTCAGCCTCCCAGCTAGAACTACAGATAAGTGCTACTCTTTTTTTTAAGGCAGGGTCTTGGTGTGTTGCCCAAGCCAGTCTTGCTTGAACTCACTCTCCTCCTGCCTCAGCCTCCTGAGTTGCTGGGATCACAGGCACACAGTACTGTCCCCATCCCTTACGTAGGACCCGGAATTGAACCTGGGCCTGTGGTCCTGATCTGCAGCGAATACGGTCTGAGCAGCATGCACCACCATGACTGGGCTGGTGCTCTCTCTTACCTGTGTTGGAGTAGAGAATGTTCTCAGCTCCTCAGAGGCTGGCTAGGTGGGGTCTCTGTGATCTGATGTATAGTTCTTGCCCTCTGGGGTTGTCCATGATATATTGAGTGAGAAAAGCATATTACAGACTTCAGTGTCATCTGGTCTTATACGAAATGTATATGTGTATGAATGTATATCAGTGTGTGCCATAGCTGTTATAAAGTCTGGTAGAAAACACACTAAGACTGATTTTAGTATTTTTCTTTTTTCTTTATGGTTTTGTGTAGTATCTGAATGTGTACGTTTATTTTGATCTGCCAAATACTTGTGTACTACTGGAGAAAAAAAACCCAAAATGGCAACAAGGCCATTTTCATTTTTCAGGGCTTCCAGAGAGCCCATGTGTGGGGTAGGAAGAAAAAGAACCACAAGGAGACTGGTGATGTGGCTCCAGTGTCAGGTGGATCAGCAGTCCTGACAGCCCCATCTTTAAAGCACGGTCTAGATTTGTCCCTGGCCCAGGACATTATTGGCATTCTTCAGAACTACTGCAGCTGCTTCTCCACTGCCATAGGCGAGACAGCTCTGCCAAGAATACAGATCAGGCTCAGCCGCGGTGGTGCAAGTGCGGGGCCGTGTAGCAGGCCTGGGTGTTTCCCAGCCCAGCCTGAAACGGGCCTGGTGTGAAGAGTGCGTCTGTGTTCCTAGCTAAGGCAGGAGGATCAAGGCATA